AGATCATAAAGGCAGGTTTGATTTTTTATTTTTTATTTTTTTTGGTCTTTTTAAGACAGGGTCTCCCTATGCAGTTCAGGCTGGCCTTGAGGTCACTTTGTAGCCCAGGCTGGTCTCGAACTCGCCATGATCCTCCTGCCTCAGCCTCCTGAGTGCTGGGATTACAGGCGTGCGCCACCACGCCCGGCTGCAGGTTTGATTTTTATGATAGGTCCTAGTCTGGCTTCACTTTCTGTGTGGTGTCTGAGTCTGGGACATAAAGGCTGCAGTCCAGAGGAGTTATTCTCACACCCGCCTTGCTCAGAGCCTCAGTGTGGAGCGGGAGAGTCCGTGCTCAGGTGGTAGAGATGATACTGAGGGAGAAAACCTGAATTCCTGGCAGATTAAAAGAAGATGACACACACCTGGTGTGGTGGCGCACCCCTGTAATCCCAGCACTGGGGAGGCTGAGGCAGGAGGATCACTGCGAGTTTGAGACCATTCTGGGCTACAAAGCTCAAGGCCAGCTTGTACCGCATAGTGAGATCCACTCTCAAAAAAAAAAAGGTGACACACTGGGGAGATAGCTCAGCAGCACACCACCTGCCTGGTAAGTGCAAAGTCCTAGTTTGATTTCTGGTACAAAAAAAAAGATGACATGTTTTTCTCCTGCTCCGTCTAGCAGCACCACACATCAGGTTACTTGTGAAGAAGCTGATGGAGAGGTCGCCTTTTTGCAGTTACAGGTTGTGAACTCTCTCTCTCCTTTTTGTACCAGGAATCTAACACATGCTCAGGCTCACCAGGCAAGCGGTTATGCCGCTGAGCTATGGGTTGTAAACTCTCAAAAGGCTTTAGCTTGGGAAGCTTCTTTTGATTTGCTAGCAGTTTTCCAAATTCCAATTTCTCTTTTTCCCTAGTATTTTTGTTTTCCTGCTTCTGTCTGGGTAATATTTTAGGAACATTTTCAAAATCTGTCATAGTTCCAAATAAGGTAATAAAAGCATTTATTTTTTATTTTTTTTTACTATCAATTTTTTTTTTATTTTAAAGAATAAAAGAAGGATAACATAATAATAGGGGGGACTTAGCAAATTACAGACAAAATGGTAGGAAATTATCAATGGTTATTGTTTTACATATTATTATCTACAAAATAGTTTCTCAAGAAAACAAATAGACAAATAATAGTGAGTTACAGACAAAAGAGGTAGGAGATTATCAAGAGTTGTTGTGCTATACTTTGGTATCTTCAAAGTGGCTTCTAAAGAAAATAAATAGAGCTGTACATGAGTGACCTATTGAAAAATCATTAACTATTCTCAATTAAAAGCATTTAAAATGAAAAAAAAAAAAAGACATTGGCAAACAGAATGCAGCTCATCATCAAAAGGATCACGGATCATGACCAAGTAGGTTTATCCCAGAGTTGCAAGAATGGTTCACCATATGCAGATCGATAAATGTGACACACTACATAAACAGAAGCATGAACTAAACCACACGATCATATCACTAGATCCAGAAAAGGCTTTTGACAAAATCCAATACCCTTTCATGAGAAAAACTGTGAGGAAAGCAGGTATAGAAGGACCCTACCTGAGTCTGACAAATGTTCTTTATAACAAACCCGCGGCCGACAGCATATTAAATGAGGAAAACCTGAAAGCCTTCAGCCTAGTCAGCAACCAGACGAGGATCTCACTATTACCATTCTGTTCAATATAGCACTTGAAACAGCCAGAGCAACCAGGCAAGAGGAAGGAAGAAAGGGGAGACACATAGGAAAGGAAGAAGTCAGATCATCATTATCTGCACACGACACGATCCTCTACGTGAAAGACCCAAGAAGTCCGTCAAAAATTCGTACAGTTAATAACCAACTTAAGCAGTGTAACAGGATACAAAGTCCATGCACAAAAATCTGTAACACTCATGTACACCAATAATGAACTCAATGACAAAGAAATTAAGAAAAAATACCATTAAATACAACATCAAGAAAAATAAAACACCTAAAAATTAACCTAACCAAGGAAGTGAAAGACCTCTACCAAGAAAACTCCAGTACTCTGAAGGAGATTGAAGAGGACCTCAGAAAATGGAAAGATGTTTCTGGTACCTAGAAGGGGAATAGCTGGGTCAAATGGAACAGAACGGTGATACCGCCCTGAATATGCGCGGTGTCGTCTGATCTTGGAAGCTAAGCAGGGTCGGGCCTGGTTAGTACTTGAATGGGAGAAAATGGAAAGATACACTGTTCCTGGATAGGCAGAACCGATATTGTCAAGAACAGCCGCTTCAACCAATGGTGCTGGGAAAACTGGCTATTTGCGGAAGATGGAAGCCAGACCTGCATCGCTCACCATGCGCTAAACTAAAAATGGATCAAAGATCCAAACATTAAAACAGAAACACTGAACTTAGCGGAAGATAAAATAGGTAAAACGCTTGAAGTCACAGGTGTAGCGAGGGCTGTCTGAACAGACCCCAGTTGCACAGGAAATAACTGCAAGAATCAACCAATGGGATGAAGGGGCCGGGGACTTAGCTCAGTGGCACAGCACCTGCCTAGCAAATGCAAGGTCATGAATTTGATTCCCGGTACCAGAAAAACAACAACAACAACAAAAAAACCAAATGGGATCAGATCAAATTAAAAAGCTTCTGTATAGCAAAGGAAACAATAGGGTGAAGAGACAACCTAACAACAGGACAAAATTTTTGCCAGCTAATCTTCAGACAGAGGACTAATATCTAGAATATAGAAAGAACTTTTAAAAATTAGACCATTCAAAAATAAAAGACTCAGTTAAAAAAATGGGCAAGTGAAATGAACAGACACTTCTCAGAAGAAGTATAAAGGCCCAACAAACATATGAACAATGTTCCGTATCTCTGGCCGTCAGAGAAACGAAGGTTAAAACAATGCTAAGATTTCTTCTTATACCAGAAAGAACGACAATCATCAAGAAATAAAAAATAACAAATGCTGGCGTGGCTGTGGTGGAAAAGGAACCCTCCTATGTTGTTGGTGGAGATGTAAACTAGTGTAACCATCATGGAAATCAGTATAAAGATTTTTCAAAGAACTAAAATTAGAAGTTCCATTTGACCTAGCTATTCCCCTTCTAGGTATCTTCCCCAAAGAGCTAGAGACATCATACTACAGTGATACACAAATAGCAATGTTCATAGCAGAACAGTTCATAACAGCTAAATCCTGGAAGCAGCCTACATGCCCATTAACAGACAGATAGATAAAGAAAAAGTGATATTGATATATAAATGGAATACTACTTGGCTGTGAAAAAGAATAAATTTGAGACATTTGTAGGAAAATGGATATGCCTAGAAAATATGTTAGGTGAAATACATAGACATATAAACTCAAATACTGTATGATATCTCTCTTGATAAGGCAAAGTACAAATAAAGAGCTCAATGAAGGCTTGATAGGAGGAAACAGGGAGATAAATCTTTTTTTTACAAATAGGAAGGGGTCCAGGAGAATGAGAGCAAAAGAGGGAGGGAAAAAGGAAGTAAAAAAGATTTAAGATATGTACCACGGGTACCAAATACCCACAATAAATGTAAACACTATATGTCATAAACATGAATTAAAAATAACAACAATGGGAACGGGGAAGGCAGATTACAGAAGGAGGGAGGCGTGTCAGCGGGAACGGGATGGGGTGTTGAAGGAACCAAGCTGTGTTGTGTATATGCACCTCAAGCACCTACTCCTTTTTAGGGACAGGGTCTTGTTATGTATTTCAGGCTGGCCTCAAACTTCAAGCAGTCCTCCTGCCTCAGCCTCCCCCAAGGGCTGGGATTTCAGGCTGCACCACCACACCTGGCTATACCTACTCCTTAAGACGGCTGTAAACGTCATGCACACAGCACTACAAAAGTAAATTTAAAAAATAAACTGCATGGCTGGGAATATAGCTCAGTGGTACAATTGCCTGCCTGGCAAGCACAAGGTTGTGAGTTCAATTCCCAGTACCAAAAAAATAAAAAATAAATAAAAAATAAACTGCAAAGGGGTTGGTGATGACATTCTTTGTTGATCAGGGAATTACTGACCCTGGCAGAAACTGTCTTGTAAAGAAATGACTGGAGCTGGAGCCAGGTGAGTGACGCATGCCTATAATACAAGCTGCGCAGGAGGCTGAGGCAAGAGGGTAACAAGTTCAAGGCCAGCCCAGTTACTTAGACCATCGTGAAATAAGAAATAAGAAATAAAAAAGGCTGAGGGTAAAGGCTGTAGCTCCATGGCTGAGCGCTTGTTTAGCATGCAAAGGCCCTGGGGTTTGACCCCTAGAACTGCAAGGGGGAAGAAAAGTGGTGGGGCAATCGGTAGAATACCTGTAAATGTGTGGGAAACGTCCCTGTTCCTATCATGCAGTTTAAAAAAATAAATGTTACTATTGTTAAAAAATTTTTTATGTACCCTAACTACCTTAAAATGTAGGTTTTCTTGT